AGCACGCGTAATCCTCGGCGGGGTGGAGGCGGCTCGGGCTGCCTGCGCGCCCCACGAGTCTCGGGCCGGTCCACCCCGGACGCTCGGCGCGCCCCGGCCCCACGGCGCCCAACTTCGCAAACTTTGGAACCAGGGGCCCATGTTAGGCGGCGGAGGCCCGGGCCGGGATGCGCAACTCCACCCGCTTGTCTGGCAGACCAAGTTGTACTCAGCCCCGGGAGCCCCCTGGGCCCCCAATCTCCAGCTCCATTCCCTCTCCCACCACGGAGGGAGAGAAGAGGCGGGGAGGGGAAACCGAGAGGAGGAGCGCTAGCTTTGGCGTCCCCGGCGCGCGGAGGGGCCCGGGCTGGGGGAATCTGGTGACCCTGCGGGTCTCGGTCCGGCGCCCCAGAGAAAGAGATGGCTGGAAATCGTGGTCCGGAGCTTCAACCAGAGACTTAGAGGGCACCTTGGTTGGTCTGAATACGGTTGGACTAGGTTCTCTGCTGGAAGCGGACTTTTCTCCTGGTGTAGGGGTGGGAGAGACAAGGATGCCTGAAGTCCACGCGGTCTTCTACTCCATCCTTGCCCGGTTCCCCATCCCTGCCTCGATCCTGCTTTTGGTGAGAGCTTTCAACTAGTCCCGGGCGCTTCGGGGAAGACCCTGGTTTTGGGGTTCCCGCATCTCCAAATCCTTCCAGCTCAGGACCTACATGAGAGGTCGGCCGGCCGCTGCCCCCCCTGCCCTGCTGCTCCGGTTGCTATTACCTGTGGAGCAGGTGTCTGCAAACCACACGTGCTAACATCAGGCCTTATCGTTTCAGATGTGTGAAGTCCGAACTACGGTTTCCAATGACTGGCCCTAGCGTGGTTTCATTATGCCCAGAGGAAGCCTGTCGGTCTTTGAGACTTTGACATCCTTTGCTGCGTGCTGGCCTCCCCACTCCGCTCATTTTGCCTTTCCAGCCTCCTTTGCGCATCACGCTTTCAGTCATGCTCGACTGCACGCTGCCGCAGCGTGCACCGAAAACCAGGGTCCAGCCAGGATAGTGCACTAGTACCAAGCAACTTTTCTGTGCTGCTGATCAGACAGCACACTAGGGTGCTTTTTCCTTTCTTCCCCTGGGAGGACTAGCTCATAGCCTAGCTGAAAGGGTCTAATTTGCATCCTTAGTAGGTAAGTAAGCCATGGAGAAGAGTGGGGAGGCTTTCATTTAACTTAGCAAGTCTTTCTTAACTCTTAGGATGTGCATTGTACACCGATCTCTTCCAAGAACTTGAGAACTTCCTGTGGAGACAAACGTGTCATGACAAAGCAGCAAAGTGTCCTCCTCTGGGACAGAGACCTTATTTATTCCCTTTGCATCCACAAGGCATGTAGTTCTGTTGGACATACATGCTCACCACTTGGTAAATTAGCTGAGGTGTACAGTGAGTATGCCACGGGGATTTATAGCAGAGCGAGATCAGCGTGGGTAGAAGTGGAGGAGGTGGAATTTGAATCTAAGACTGAAGTGTGAGTACAAAAAGTTAAAGCAATAGAAAAGGAAGAGAGCTGACATTGCGTGTGGGGGAAACTATGATGACAGCTCAGAGCATGATAGCCCAGTAATCAGGATACAGCTAATAAGATCAGTAAGGTGGGCCAAACCAATAGTGCAGCAGTTAAGTGCTGATCCCACATGGCTGATTAGGGTTCGAATCCTGGAGGGTACACACAAGCCCAAGATCCAGACAGGATGGAGAATTTGAAGAAGGATAGCAGTATGACTAGGCCCTTTTGGAGGGTACTTCTCTCTCCTTCTCTCTCTCTCTCACACACACACACACGCACACACAATCATGAATAAAGGGCAGGGAAAGATAAACAGGGAAACTGGCAAGAACCTTCAGAACAATTCAACTTAATTCTATTGACAATAAGAAAACAGTGCAAAAATGTGATTAGGGGAGCAATATTAATCATTTTGCTTGGGCTGGCCAATGGTGTAGTGGTTAAGGCAGCTGGATCCCACACAGCCAACTGTGTGGTTCAAATTCCAGACCTGGCAGCTTGAAAAACATGCTAGGTGTATATGTGTGAGCGTGTCCAAACTCTGTAAAGGAGAAAGGGGGTAGAAGGGATTGTGCCCCATGGGGAATGCTTTCTCACTTTCCTTCTCTCTCTCTCTTCCCAGCAAGTGTATGTGCCCTATAGCAAATTGTTTTTAAAAAGCATTTTGCTCAGGAGAGTGATATTAATCATTAATAATAAGGTGATGTGAGGATGATAGGAAGGGCAAGAGGCTAGAGGCAAGAGACCATTTTGGAGGAAGTCACTAGTGATTTATGGGACAAGTGGAAATAGACTATGTCATCAGGGCCTACTATTCCCACTGGAAAAATGACTTGAAACATTATGACCTACTTCAGTTATTTTTTCTGTGATATAAATGAAATGCTGTTATGACTTCCAAGTCTGAGCCATAGAGAAAGTTGCCTTGGAGCCTGGGATTACACTGACATGGCTTTGTGAACTTTTCCACTCGTTTTATATCTGGTTGTTATTGTGGCAGCTTCGAAGGCCCAGAGCATGTTCTCAGTATCCACGTGTGGAAGAGGAACCCATACATGTGCTCAGGTAGCCCTTCTCTCTCTGCCTAAAAATGTCAGTAGGGCCACTGGGCCAGTTTCCACCTGGGGCAGCTGCAACAATATGCTATTCTGTAGATACAGACAGAAGTAGAAGGAGATTCAGGGGGGGCCAGCAGGTGGCATGGTGGTTAAGGTGTTGGACTCCCACATGGCCAATGACAGTTCAAGTCCCGGACCTGGCAGCTTGCTTTCTTGCTTTCTTTCTCTCTAGTGAATTAAAATAATAGTAAATAGGGGCCGGCAAGTGACGCAATGGTTAAGGTGCTGGACTCCCACATGGCTGACCACAGTTTGAGTCTCAGACCTGGCGACTTGCTTTCTCACTTTCCTTTTCTCTCTCTGGTCAAATGAAAAATAATAATAACAATAATAATAACAAATAAAATTAAATAAACCTTTAAAAATAATAAATTAATTAAAATAATTCATTAAAAAAAAGGAAAGAGATTCAGACTCCTGTCAACAGATTTAAAAGAAGGAAAGTGTTCAGTGGAGACTGGGGAGGAAGAATTTTCTGGTGGTTTCTGATGGCATTCAAAGTCCTGGAGGAAGTTCATCCATCCCCCTTGCATACAAACCAAGACTGCCAGTATCTGTTAGAGACTCCCCAGAGTGACTCGACCCACGCCTGGTCTGGGACCTGGAGGCAGGCTGCAAAGCACTTCTCTCCTGAGTCTGAGCCGCCCCCCACCCCGTCCTCAGGAGCCTTAGCCCTGTCTACGTGTCCTAACACAGTCCTTTCGTTAGGACCAGGAGAGGCTGTCCTGTGTTGATGATGTGTTAAGGTACTTGATCTGCTACAAGTAGCTTCTTGATCTCTGAGTCATTCTCATCAAATAGTTTGGCATTTTGAGGCCACGTATTCAATGTTGACTCTTTGTTACTTGCTTTTGGGAGGACTGACACGAAAGTATCTATGGGATAGCCATTTCCTTGAAAACCGGGCCTCTTTCAATTGCTATACCAGCCAGAATTTGGAGTGTCACGCTGATGGTAATTGTCGCAGTGCTCCCGCTATTTGTTTTTCTAGTATTTCTCATTTTTAAACTAAGAGCATTGCATCAAAAGAAAAAGGGACAATGGAAAAGGGGCTAGATAAGTGACCTCTTCAGTGCCACAGCACAGTAGACTTGCATTTAGACGCCTAACTTGGGCCTTTCTAGCTAAGTACCTTTGAGCAACTTATTCTGAGCCTTTCCTCTTTTCAAAAATAAGGAAATTATCAAATGTGTTTCTATACATGAGCAATGAACAATACAAAATGAAAAAAAAGTTCAAACAATTATTTATTTAGTTTTACTTATTACCATTATTATTTTTAAATTTGCTACAGAGCACACGCACTCACCAAGAGAGACAGAAAGAAAGTGATAAAGCAAACCACCAGGTCCAGGACTCGAACTATAGTCAGCCATGTGTGAGTCCAGCACCTTAACTACCATGTCACCTGCTGGCTCCCCAAAAATGAAAATTAAGACAGCAATTCCACTTACAATAGCATCTAAAAAATGTAAATACTTAGGAATAAATCTAATCAAGAAAGCAAAAGACTGGTATACTGAAATTATAAAATATTGCTGAAAGGGGGCTGGCAGGTAGTGTGGTGGTTAAGGGTGCTGGACTCCCACATGACCAACTGCGGTTCAAGACTCTGACCTGGTGACTTGCTTTCTCTCTCTCTCTCTCTCTCTCTCTCTCTCTCTCTCTCTCTTTCTCTCTGTCCCTCTTTGGTCAAATTAAAATAAATAAATAAAGTTAAATAAAATAATTTTTAAAAGTTAAAAAAATATTGTTAAAAGAAATTGAGAAAGACCTAAATACATGTAAAGACATCCTGTGTTCAAAAATAAGACTTAACTTTAACACATCAGTACTACACAAATTGACTTAGAGATACAACACCATCCCTATTAAAATTCCCATAGCCTCTTTCAGACAATGAAAAGCCAATCCTCAAATTTACATGGATTCGCTAAGGGCTCTGAATAGCCAAAAC